GTGTCTCATGTTCATGTATTGGAAGAATAAACATTGTTAAAATGTCTTACTACCCAAAGAAATCACACATATAATGCAATCCCTATCAAAATACCACCATGAAAAATGCATTCTAGTCTAGAAGCTGGACTCTTTTCAGAGTTAGATCAAGAAATCCTAAAATTTGTATGGAACCACCACAAAACCTGTATATTCAAATAAACCTTCTGCCCCCTTTTCTTTCTCTTCCTTTTCTAGGACTCCTATTACAGAGATTTTGTTACAATCTAGGGAATCACTGAGTTCACTAAGTCTACCTTTTTTTTGGCACAATACCTTCCTTTATGTCTTCTTTTTAGCTTCATTATTTTTCATAATTTTATTCTCTATATCATTGATTTGTTTTTCTGCATTATCAATCCTTACTGTAATGGCATGCAGTTAGGTTATATCTTGATTATAGTATTTTCAATGGTTATATACTAAACAGTTTTTAGTTATTTTATCTCTGAAGTAAGGGATTCTTTAGTGTTTTCTTTGTTTTAGTGTTTTCTTTAGTGTTTTCAAGCCCAGCTCATATCCTAATATATATATTTTTAATTCTGTTTCAGACATCACACTTATATTTGTTTTTGCTAAATCACTGGTCATTACTTCTTTTTCTTTCTTTTGAGATGAATCCCTCCATCTTGTCATTTTCTGTAGGTCACTTGTTTGCTTTCGTGTATGTGATTTTTTTAGGAAAGCCTGCTATATATCTGCTCCTGAGAGTAATGCCTATACTAAGAAGAGGTCCATTTAGAAAGGGGTTCCTATATGCACTCTGCTATTCTGTTTTGGTTGCTCACACCCTGAATTCAGTCCTCTGAAGAGTTTCTCTTTGCCTTCAGTGGTGGGGGTAGGTGGTTTGACACCATCCACTGTGTGGAAAATTTTAACTATGTTTGCTTGTTAAAAGAGGCCAGATCAACATAGAATGGAATGGAATGGAATGGAATGGAATAAATAAAATAAAATAAAATAAAATAAAATAAAATAAAATAATAAAATAACGTAAAATAAAATAAGATAAGATAAAATAATAAAACAAAACAAAATAAAATAAAATAATAAAATAATAAAATAAAATAGACCTCATTTCCCTCAGTGCTGAAGGCTTAGAGCACTATGATCAATAGACTTGGTGCAAAGGGTTTGCACTGGTCTTCCAGGGAAGGTTTTGCTGCACTTATTCTCAGGTGTACATGCTCTAGTGGAGATGCACCTACAGGGTCAGGGAGGCAGGTCTTGATGTAAACAGCTCCAATCTCTACTGAGGTGCACTGTGTTGCTCATTGAAGTTGGCCAATGCTGATGGGCTGGGGGATGTGAGGAATGGCCTCACCCCACTCTCTCCTCTTGGAGCGGGATTGTGTGCCCACCACTCTTCAGGAAGCCCTCACATAATAGCAATCACCACTCTTATGTCTCCAGCTTCTGTCAGATCCTTGCCTTCACCTTGTTTGTGTCTGAGTTCTCTGCTGCCAGGAAGCACAGTACTCTTGGTTTTATCTCAGGCATATAACTGGACTTTAAAACTCCAAATTTTATGGACTCACAGGGCACAGACTTGCCCTGTTCTTCTAGGGGAGCATCTTACCATGCTTTTGCAATATGCTAGTTTACCCCAGGAAAGTGGTCACACAACTGCACATTGGTCAGAGTTTATAGTAAAACATAACAAAAAGCCAGCACCAAGGTTTGTTGCCCTCCGCTGATGTCTCTGCCCTTATGGTAATGAACAAGGCAGCACGTTGGCACCATCCGTTCTTTAGACCTGAAGAATCTGTGCCATCACTCCTAAATGCACTCCAGAGGGAGGAATTGTTTCTCCCCATGAGACCAGATAATCCTAAAATCATGCTGCCCAATCCCACATCCCCACCCTCCATTCACAGAGGAACACTGGTAAACCCATGAGGCATGACACTGGGTGATGGCGTGTACTTCTAAAACTTCAGACTTTGTGCTCTGGTGCTTATAATAACTTGCGATTGTCTGTCCCTCTCCTTTTCCCACCCAATGGATTATGGGAAGGATTTTCCTTGTGCAATCCCTGCCTGTTGGTTCACTTTGTCTTTCTCTTTCTTGCTTGTTAGCTCACTCCTCTCTCTGAAATCAAGGACTTCTCCATTTTTTTTTTTTGCACACACAGTTTTTTTCTCTCCCATATCAACTCTTTGCACCTATTACCTTCAATGAGGTAATCATTTTTTTCTACTTGTAGATGTGCAGTTTTGTTCTCTCAGTCCTCAGTTTGATTTCTTGTGTGCTCAGAATGATTTGTTATATATCTAGCTGTGTTTGAAGGACCAGGCAAGATAAGAGGACTTGCTCTATTCTTATGTCCTTTCCTCATTTTCTTATCTTTAATTAAGCAGAATTTCAGGCATTTCAGCAAAATGAAATTGTATTGTGTCTTGTGTAACTAGAGTAGGTAGTTTTGGCAAATTACTTTTGTCATGAATGTTTCCCTTTGCCCTAAATTTTCCATTTTCTGAATCTTATTCTACAGAACAGTTGGAAAGATGCCTCCATATGATAGATGTCTTTTCCCCTTAGCATTTATCAATGCCCTCTAGCTAAAGGTTAACAGGAAAACACCTGTAATTGAATGAGTCACATATATTACTACAGTAATGTAAAATAAACATTGTAGGGAATTGTGTAGTGTTTGAATGAGAGGGCATTAAAGGGTACATGAGCAAGAAGACTTTTACTTCATTATTGTTAAAAGGAGCTATATTTACTTATTATTGTTGTCGTTGTTGTTATTCTTATTTTGTAACAAGAGCAGGAGAGTTTTTACTTAATTGCTGTTGTCATGCACTACATGTAGAAGACATTTCAAGCTTATTTTCCCTCCTTAGTTCTTCAAAGACCCCCATATAGCTGAGGATCTTTTTCTTGCTGTTAACTTGAGGAAGGTGAAATATTTCTATATTTTGGCTTGTCAAGATTCCTTTCTCAGCTGCCAGGCATCCTGTGATACACAATCTGATTTGAACTAATATGTGTTCCCTTTTGCAGGCAACATCTCAGAGGAGTTATTTTGCATGGACCACACTTTAACCTTCAGGAAACATGAGATCTTCACCCAGAAAAGCTCTAAGTGCACAAATCATGGAATACAGCACTGCTCCCTCAAGCTACAGAGTAGCTACTGGCTCTTCTCTCACGCTCAATATCCCAGACAGAAGGCAAACATAGGTCCACTTATGGACCTTTAGGTTTCATGAGACAGACTAACGTCTTATTTTTTTTCCCATAAGTTTTAAGTAAGGGGCAGGCAACCATGCCAGCTCTTAAATTTCTGGGACAGTAACTCATAATACACCTACAGTTCTTTCCTAAAACCTCCATGTTCTCTTTTGACTTTCTTAAATAGTCCATGCCCATGAGCAGTTAGGTCCATGTAATCAGATTCAGGCACCTCCTTTAAAATAACCTATGAGGATGGGTTTGGTATTTATTTGGAATAATTCACCTTTTTTTTTTATTAAGGATTTCATTTTAGCGCTTCTTTATATATTAAATATTTATTATAATAAACCCAAATGATCTGTGAGTGACACAAAGAAAATCCATTTCAGCTCAGCCTTTTATATTACTTCAGCTACTTACCTTTGCAGTGTAAATTATAACAATTTTGTCACACCTTCACCTGAACCACACAGGTCTTCTACTTTCTCACTCAGGCCCACTCTGTCTGCATTCTGTGTGCTATATTGAATTGAATCATTTCCAGCTATGTGTGAGGAAAATTCCATCTTTCATTCATTACTTTCTCAGTGAGAGTTTTCATAATGTTGAAATTGAAATGAACTCATTCACTACCATCTGTATCTGGATACCTTTAGCCTTTCACAAGTACTTTGAAATTAATAACTATGTGTCATTGTTTGCCTGTTTATTGGCAGTGCCAGATATGTAGTTACAGTTACAGATAGAAAATCTACAGTGTTGTAGATAATGGATATCTAGAACAGATATATACAGTACCTAACAGGCATTTGTTGAGTAGGTGAGTAAATTATACAGTTATATCAAATTAAATTGGAGATTGTGGTAATTTAAACATCAAAATAGCATCGAGATGAAAAGGTAAAGAAATGAGTATCTAGAAAACATAATTACTTAAAACATGTTATGGACTGAACAGTACATAGTCCAGAACTCTCTTTTCAGAACCATCATGCTCCTCTCAGTTTAGGCAAAATCGATAAAGTACGGACTACAGCCAATATCCTGATGATGTGGAGTACAGTCTATGTTCTCTTCCATCTCTAAATATGAATGAAGGAGAAATAATACCCATTAGGGATCACTTAAGAATTAAAATTCCTTGGGGCGCCTGGGTGGCACAGTCGGTTAAGCGTCAGACTTCAGCCAGGTCACGATCTCGCGGTCTGTGAGTTCGAGCCCCGCGTCGGGCTCTGGGCTGATGGCTCAGAGCCTGGAGCCTGTTTCCAATTCTGTGTCTCCCTCTCTCTCTGCCCCTCCCCCATTCATGCTCTGTCTCTCTCTGTCCCAAAAATAAATAAACGTTGAAAAAAAAATTAAAAAAAAAAAGAATTAAAATTACTTTACCACTTGGACATGTAGAGACTTTCTTTGGGTATTGTATTTACATTCTGTTGACTTGATTTATTATCAAGTAAATTCTACAGCATGTAATTCAAATCAAATAATTGTCCATTAAGAAATAGACATTGGAAATTGAAATGATAAAAATTTATAAATTATGACATCAAAATTATTTTTAGATTTATTTAAAGGAATTCATCATTTGAATAATTCTAAAATAAAACAAATATATATCTAAATTTAATATTTACAAATTAGGTACATAAGTGCCAAGTTTCAGCAGATTCAAAATAGGACCATTTTTCCTCAGTCACAAAGAAAATCTTCTTACTGGCATTTTATTACTGGCAGAATGGCTAGAGGATGCCCATTTAGACCACTGTAGAGGAGGCCAGGACAAAAGTATGGCCTCAGCGCCTCTGTGAAGCAGTTTTTATAGGTGTAGATATGAGACAGGTTGGTCACATTATGAAAGGGACTCTTCCAGCCTCATAGTCCAGGAAGATACCAATAATCTCAGGAGATTCCTCAAGGTGGAGTGTTATCCATGGATTTGCAAGAGCTTGGTGGCCATTACTTCTCTTCAAGCACAGTGTCCAGAATCCAGTCTCTGGGGATAGCATGATTTCTCCCTGTCTGCAGACAGAATCCTTACAAATACCGATAGTCCATTTTATTTTATTTTTCACACTCACTTCCCAGTAGTGTCTACCTCTGAAAAAACATTGCTGACCTAATACACACACCAGTTTCTCAAACTGCTGCCTACATTTGGATAGTTCCTGAAAGATATCACCTCCTTTTGCTCTTTTGTTGTCTTCATCAATTTGGAGATATGGGTGAGCTGTGTCTGGATCCCGGGTAACATTTTCTATGGAAGAACATGTTATTCATTTTGGCTATGATCAACAATATCAACAATAATTAACACAACATACAACTGCCCTTCCTCTATATAGGATCTTTCTCTAGCTTTCCTGAAATGAAGTTGCTCCTTTACCTCAGAGAATGATCTTTATAGTTACTCAAGCACTTGAGAACTTGATAAGAGAATTTGTCCAGAATGGAAAAAAATTAGTTTCTAAACACACAGATATTTTCTCATCAAAATAATTTTGAATGTGGCCAATTTCACACTGCACACTTGTTATGTACCTTGTGCTGTTTGAAGCATATTTATAAATAATTTTCATAACAATGCAATGAAATGGAAAAATATATGTATTTTGTAGTTAAGACAACAAACATTTAGGGAAGTTTATCCAACCATGGTTACTAATATACATCAATGTTTGGATTGAAGTCCAGATCTGATTCAATTTGTGAATTAATGAAAAACAATTATACATATTTTCTTTAAATCTGAATGCTTTGACAATTTAAAATTTGTCCTAAATGACCCTATGAAATTTAATCAGATTTACTGAATTACTTTTCCTAAAATTTTATTCATGTTGATAGAAATTTTCACAGATACGTGAATCCAAAAGTAATTTTTAAAATGTTGAAAGCATATAAACACACAAGCCAGATGTAAAAATCATCCAAATATTTACCCAATTACATAGGATTCTATTAATACAGGCTAAAAGTGTATCTGTGATGAATTAACTTCTCATAGTTTTTTGCAAAACTAAATTTTACTGGTATTAGTGTAACCACAAAGAAAATTCCATTAGTATTAATGTAATATAAAATAACCAAAGACTCTTATATGTTAGCACTGTAAATATAGGATTATGTGCCCTTAAAGCCACTGCAACTCACTTACTCATGGGCATTTTTTGAAAGCAATATATGATATCTAGGCTATACTTTTTTTTTTCAGTTAGTAAATTTGTTTCTAAAGTTGTCTAATAAATGTGAATATTATGTCAATTAGTTATATAAACTGGAGAAATCTCCTAAGAATACTTATCATACATGTCTTTGTAAAAACAGTGTATTACTCCCTGACTTTTCTTCCTCAAAGTGTATTTGTGGTAATCAAATGAAAATACTTTATTTGAAATAATTCATACAAAGCTGTAAAATGTAACACAAATTGTTCTTGTTCCTAATATTAAACAGAGGTCCTAAATTTGACAATTTGTTAGAAGTCAAAAGATATCCTAAGGGAGGTATGAGTTTTCAATTTGATAAAGTAAATGAAGGACAACGGATTGTGATCCATAGGCAATTACTGCCATTGTGTCACTAGCCTCCATCCTAACATAGATGAGTGGCAACCTGCCTTTACCCCATTCCCTGTCAGCTACCCCCAAAACCATTCCCCAACTCATTTCTGGTTCTAAAAAGCACATTTAATGATATCATTTAGGGCTATAATATTTTGCTTCCCTCCATCACTGAATCTCAGAGAGCAGCAACCATTTGTGATATGTAAGGAGTTATAGCTATAAAATACCCAACAATAAAGATGACAAAATGGAAATTTTGGAGAAAAAAAAGGGATTTGTCTGTGTCTTCAGTGTGAGTTTGTAAGTGTGTTACAGTTTCCCTTGTCTGATGGTCTAGTGTCCTGGCCAAAAAGAAGTATCAATATCCAAATATTTCAGTGTGTAGTTACCTGCATAGTGTCGAGCAAATTTCAACCCTAAAATAAATTTTATATATATATATATATATATATATATATATATATATATATAAATGTAGTTTTGAAATTAAGAATTATCAGTGAATAAAACAGGACAGAGATGAGTGGTCAAAAGACAAGTACATGAGTCAGGGCTAGAGGTGGCCATTTTCATTACTCACCTTCTTCTCCCAGGAGTTTTATCCTTTCTGAAAGAATGGGATGTAGTGAGGTATTGCTTTGAAATATAAATACATTTATTTTTAAAAATATATTTAAATTCCTATCTTTAGAGAGTAATTTTACTTACCAAAATCTTCATGAAGTTTTCCTAAAATGCAAACAGTGACAAATCCTTGTGAGAATTTTTTAGGACTTGTTAACTAGACTCTCTTTCTAATGCTTACACATGTAAATCTTTGGTGTAAGGAAAAAATAAAAGAATAGACAATTGTTGGATTTAAGTTACAGAGTTGGAAAATAAATAATGGTTAAAAAGATTTCCATTTGCTTTGTTTTAACGTAATTCAAACGATCATAATGCAAATTGTTATCCAGAAATAGCCTCTCCCAGGTGTTTCCATTAAGCATATTGACTCCTACAGACTTCCCCAACCAAAAAGTATAAATATTGAGAAGCTAGCACTGAAAGCAACGGTGAGATTTGGATATAATTTCTGATTCTATGCACCTGAAGAATTAAAAACTAAATGAAGTTATTTCTGCTATAACGTTTGTTTTGAAATTGCAAATTTGTCCCAATATGAATAACATATTAAGAAGGAATTTGGGACGCCTGGGTGGCTCAGTTGGTTGAGCAACCGACTTCAGCTCAGGTCATGATTTCACGGTTTGTGAGTTCAAGCTCCGCGTCAGGCTCTGTGCTGACAGCTTGGAGCCTGCTTTGGATTCTATATCCCCCCCTCTCTCTGCCCCTCCCCTGCTCATGCTCTGTGTGTGTCTCTCTCTCTCTCAATAATAAATAAACGTTAAAAAAAGAAGGAATTTGAATATGCTATGAATTTTGCGTTTGTTTATGTGTGATTTTGTGAGGTAGAAACTTGTACCCAATTGAGTCTAGAGGTGTAGAAATACATACAATATATAAGCATGCAAAAATACACACACACACACACACACACACACAGACACATTTGCACACATCTTAAAAGGACACTGGGATATACCCATCTGCATCTTATAATAAAACTTTCTGTCCTGGGGCATCTGGGTGGCTCAGGTGGTTTAAACTCCAACTTTGGCTCAGGTCATAAACTCGTGGTTTGAGCATTACATCGGGCTCAGTGCTGAAAGCTCAGAGCTTGGATCCTGCTTGGGATTCTGTCTTCCTTTCTCAATGCCCCTCCCCCCTTCTCTCTCTCTCTCTCTCTCTCTCAAAACATAAATAAAAAAATAAAAAAGTAAAAAAAAAATCTTTATGTCCTGCCACATTCACAGTAACTCCAAGCTGTCACCCTCACCAATGCCACCCTCACCAATCCATATTTCTTTTCTGCTATTTTTTTTATCTTATTTCTATTTTCCCTCATCATTATCTTTTTTTTTTATTCCCTTCCTTTGCACAAATTTTTGGGCTTTGAGGTGGAGGTAGTGGAAGTACATGCTGCTGTGTGTAAACTTTAGTTTCTCTCAAGGTAAAGTGAAATATTACTTTAGTACGTAGGTATTTTTTAAAAATTTAACAAGTATAAAATTTTATAACAATTTTATGAGTTTCTATATTTTGAAAAAATGCCACCAAGAAGGTTTTGGACTTCTATGCCCTAATGTCATGTTATAAAATGAATTTCTTTCTACAAAATTCATACGTTAAATTCCAAAACCCAATGTAATATTTGGAAGTGGAGACTTTGGAAAGTAATTAAGTCATTACAGTGGAGCCCTCATGAATAGCATTAGTCCCTCATAAGAAGAGGCATTAGTATTTGTTCTTGCTCTCAACTTTCAGTCATGTGAAAGAACAGTGAGAACACGGCCATTTGCAAACCAGGGAGTGGACTCTTAGACACCAGATCTACTGGTGCTTTGACCTTATATTTCCCAACTTCTAGAATTCAACAAAATCAACATACAAAAATCAACAAAATCAATCATACCAAAAGGAGGAAATATTTACATGTTGGAGAACAAGAAGATGGAGGCACCATAAGAATGTACTGAAGGAAAGGGATGGAGCAACAAGAAATTGAAAACAGTTTCATTCCTAGGATGGAAGGCCACTGGGACTGCACATTCTCTTCAGAAGGACATCATATCAGCACCAGGCCTGAGATAAGAATGTTTTGTCTGGCATCAGATGCATTCATGACCCAGTATGGAATACACTGCAGGTACATGACCTGTCAATATGCCAAATACTATGTTGTATGTGCTTGCTGCTATCAAATTGCAAAAATAAAAAAGGTTTGATCCAGGACCAAGTGCTTAGGCTCTTGGAGAGTCTTAGCCCCCTGATATGTAATTCTCTCATCATCACACCTTTAGGACCTGTCTCTCTACATTTGCAAATCCTCACAAAAGAGTTAATAATCAAAATTTATAAAGAACATACACAATAACAAAAGCAAACTATAACCAAATTATATCTCTATCAGGTGATTTCAGTGTAATAGTAAGAAAGTATCTTAAATTAAGATGATGCTGTTATCTACAACTTGATGGATAAATGAGCTAATTTGAAAACAAAAATCCAGAGAGGGAAGATGGCGGCGTAGGAGGACGCTGGGCTCACCGCGTGTCCTGCTGATCACTTAGATTCCACCTACACCTGCCTAAATAACCCAGAAAACCGCCAGAGGATTAGCAGAACGGAGTCGCCGGAGCCAAGCTCAGACTAGAGGCCCACAGAAGAGGGTAGGAAGGGCAGCGAGGCGGTACGCGCTCCACGGACTGGCGAGCCGGGGCGGAGGGGCGGCTCGCCGGCCAAGCAGAGCCCCCGAGTCTGGCTTGCAAAAAGCGGAGGGGCCGGACTGACTGTGTTCCAAAAGCAAGCGCGACTTAGCGTCTGAGAGGTCATAAGTTAACAGCTCTGCTCAGAAAGCGGGAAGGCTGCAGGACAAAGGGAAGGAGAGCTGCTGAGACCCCTGACGACCGAGCTCAGTTTGGTGGGAAACAAAGGCGCTTGCCAGCGCCATCTCCCCCGCCCATCCCCCAGACAAAATCCCAAAGAGAACCAGTTCCTGCCAGGGAACTTGCTCGCTCCACGCAAACACCCAACTCTGCGCTTCTGCGGAGCCAAACCTCGGCAGCGGATCTGACTCCCTGCTGCTGCC